CCTGGAAGTGGAACCCGATTTCAGGCACTCCCTCTGTTACGGCCACAAAACAAGCTCCTGGGGCCTCTGCTTCAGTATCAAATACAAGGACTCGCTCTCCCCAAAGATCAGCACTCCCTTGCCTCAAGCCAGCCTGGCCAGCTCTGAGACAGCCGCATGGCAGCCCGTCCTCCCCTCCAGCCACTCCTTCACACCACAGAAACGCCCCTGACTGTCACAGACCATGTCGACGGCTAGGGCTGGAAACTTCCTTTTTGTAAGAGAAGCATCACCTTTCGGGGGAGGAAGGGAGAGACTGTTCCCAGAGCTGCTGGGAAAGTCGGGGTCCCCTCCTCTGCACCACAAGAAAGTAAATGCCCTCCAAGCTCCCACTTCAGGGTCACAGGGGGGCCTGGTGTCTGCGTCACCGCCCTGAAAGCTTGTGACCTGCCCTGGATGACACAGGACACCATCTCCCCTTCCTGGGGGCCCACAGCCCTGCTGTGCGCTCTGGGCAGGGGGTCCCCTCCTTCCTGCAAACCCACACTGGATCCAGCTTCTTCACTATTGACCGGATGAAGGCACCGAGCTGCCGAGAACTCACTGAATGACTACGAGGGAAAACACAAGCCTTCCATAATGAGGGTCTCCTTTCTGAGCCATTGTGGCTTTTAGGAAACAGAGATGGGGAAACTCACACACATTTCTAAAGGCATGAAGGTTTGTGCAAGGCACTTCAGGCAATTAGGTGTCGCCTCAGTTGGCTCAGGGCGGAACAACCCAAGCAAAGGAGTGAATGGAGAATGGCTAGGAGTCCCACAGAGCAGCGCTCCGGCCTGGAGGCCACGCGGCTGTGGAGGGGTGGTCACGCTCTCCTTGCTCGCACAGCCTGACCCAAACCTCTGCCAGCCGTGGGCTCCCTGCCAGGACCGCGAAGGAGGCAGGGCACCCCGCTTCCAGGCCGCCACCGCCTCCACGGTGCTGTGCTTGCCTTTTCCTGGAGCGATGGGCCCTAGTTTCCCCACGGCTGACCCTTTGTTGAGCGAATGTGACGGTCTTCCTGAAATCTCGTTCCAGACTCTCGGCTTTAACCTCAGAGATCAAATCGGCTTTTTGGACTCAGATTCCCTCAAAACATGACACGGAGGAAAGCGTCATCTCACCGAGCGCCTCTGACCAGAGCGTACCTGCCAGATTGTTCCAACGATCAGAGAGAGGGGGAGAGAGACAGTGGAGACAGAGAGGGAGACAGGGAGACACACAGACACACACAGACACAGCCTCACTGCTGGAATTAATGGCAGGGTGTTATCGATTCTACAAACCGTCCTAAGATGTGAAATGAGAGGTCTTTTTAAAACATTTTAAAGATTTTTATATGACCCATTATAGAAACTACATCCAATCACATTTTTCTAAAATTTTTCTCTCCTTACCAATTCCTATTTGAACAAAAAGATGCCATTTTCAGACATCTCAAAACACTCCTGCTCCTGGCCCTCAGTACTCACGTGGGATGTTCTGCCCCCCAGCCACACCCCCTGCTGTGGTTCCTGGCACTCTCCGCTCTCGAGGTCAAGGCCACTGCCTCCTCCTGTCGCTTTGCTGGATGACAATAGGGTCAGAAAGCCAAGCCAGTGCGGGCTGTCCTTTTCCATAATGCTCACTACTACTGTTATTTAATACTTTCTAATAATTAAATGGTAATTACAACGAACATTCACTGTAGGCTCACAACACACCGGGCACCGAGCTGTGTTCTACACTGATAGCCTGATTTAATTACCCCTGACACACGAGCTGCATCTATTATCTCCATCTTACGGGTGAAGACACTTTAAGGCTTAGAAAGCGTAAATGGCTGTCTAAGGCCGCAGAGCTCAAACGGAAGAGTCTAGATAAACCCAAGTGGAGTCTGACTCCACAGCCTTGTTGTAATGCAGACAGGTAACTGTTTGCTAATTTGGGGTGTGGATAAGGACTCTGAACAGCTGTGGAAGTCTGGTGTGGGCTAACACCCCTCCCCAAGGTCTAGGGGAGAAGACAATCCATAGGTCTCCCGGTTGGAAGCGGTGCAGGCAATGTCTGACCCAGCAAGATGACAGTTAACCCAGAGCTCTTAACAGGATTCTCTAATTCCCATTTCAGGAGAGACTGGTAAACAAGGAGGGCTGAGCATCTTCCACCCACAGATGCTGGGTTACTCAGTGCCTCCAGGAAACAACGCAATGATTTAAAAATAATCACACAGGACATGTCCGCAAAGGAGTGGGAACAAAATGGCAACACACTAAATGATGCTACTTTGTTTGACTGAAATAAAATCCCAAGATGTTAGGGTTAGATGAGACTGGAGATTTCTGGAAGACGGTGGGGAGGTGGCAGACACACAAGGAAGGGACCAGGGAGGATGGTTCATGGGAAAGGCACAGACTCGCAGAAGTGGTTTTAAGATGGGAAATTGAGAGCCAGAGCAGTGAAGGGGCAGGGTGGCGTCACGGCAGCAAAGCAGCAGTGGCTCACACGAGCTGCGTCTAGAACCCACGCTCTCTGCCCACAATGTCACCAACCGGGAAAACCGGAACCAGGGAAAACACAGGGCCACTCTTGGCCCAGAGGGTTTATCGTCGCTCTGCTCAGAGGCAAGTCCCCGACCTTCACCACCCGCAGGACAAGGAGCAGAGCTGCCGCTTCTCTGACGGAGGCGGTCCCAGTGTGGACGGGTAGAAGGCACTATTTTGTAGAGTTCATGTCATTTGTTTGACAAACACTATTAAGCCCCCACGGTGTACCAGAACAGTGACAAGTCCTGAGGACAGAGATGAATAGGCCTGCCTTTCCCAGACGTGATCCAGGGAGAGACAGACATAAGCAAAGGAGGACAGCAACGTGCCAAGTGCTATCATGCCAGGATGCAGCAGCTAATGGGAGCCCAGAAGGAGGACACCTTGAAGACCACATTCTCTGGGTAGAACCTGGTAGGAGCCTGCGGTCAGACGAGCAAAGACACTCCAGAGCAAAGAGCACAGAGCGGCGGCGTGAGGTTGCAGAGACCCCACACAGCTGACTCAGACTTGCTCAGACCCAGCCGGAGAGCTGGGAAGGAGAAAAACATCGTGAAGCCTGGCACAACCTCGGTTTCTATTGGCAAGTACTCCCTCAAACCTTAACATTGAAACCTAGATAATCAATCACTTTTCTACCCATAATAACATGGGAGCTGGGTTCTGTTGTTTTGGGGGGCCTTAAGAGACATAATTCTGCACTCCAATCCTGCTTTGGAGCATAAATACGTGTGTTTTGAAAGTGTCGCTGGCAGATGTTTACTCGCATGTAAGTGAAAAGAAACAGGCTTCTGCCGTCGCTTTGCTTTGCCGGTACCTAAATAGCTTTCAAGGGCTGCTTAAAGTGTATTGATCCGCGGTTCTCAAGGCCCAGGCTGCTCCAGATGTCTTCCCTGCAGAATTCTAATTCATGCTTTAAAAGCGGAGTCGATTTTCTTTCATCTCAGATGCTCTAGCTGGAGGCAGCTCGAGCTCAGTCTATCCTTTTAGGAAGAGAAACGATATGTAGGGGAGGGTTTAACCCGAGAGAGAGAGAGAGAGAAGGGAATGAAAAGACGGGGCCTGCATGGAGCCTGTCAAGTTTCGGGAGAGTAATAACCCTCCTGATGTTGCCAGAGGCGATTCAGAAATGAGACAACGTGGAGCCACGCGGATCCATGGCCGGGCTTCCCCACGGCGGCGCCACCGACGTTCGGGCCCAAAGGTTCTTTCTGGTGAAGGCTGTCCTGTGTGCACTGTATGTTTAGCAGCAGTCCTGGCCTCCAGCCACCGGAGGCCAGAAGCACCCACAGCCGTGACAACCACAAATGTCCCTAGACGTTGCCGCCAGTTGAAAGTCCCTGATCTGTATGAACTCCAAGCAGCAACAACACCGAAGAATCTCATCTGGTTAACTGCTTCTGATAGAAAACCCTCCTCTCTCTGGCATCACTCTACCCCAAAAGTGAGTCCCATAGAGAGTGATCACAACAGACCTCTGACAATACATACGTTCCTCCATGAGACGGTTTACATCGTTGGGCACAGGGAACCTTGTGCGTCAAGATGCTCTGATGAAAACAGGCTCCGAACGGCACTGACCACCGAGTCCCTCTAGAACCTAAGAGGGCAGTTGTGGGTGGGAATGAACCTGGCCCGCTGGAGCAACAGCCAGGCAGGGGGGCTCAGCGGGGGAGGCAGAGGGAGGGAGGGAAGGAGCTGAGGCTGGCGGGAGGCAGGGGCTTGGAGGCCGAGTTAGGGAGCTGGAATTTCCCCCCAGGGGCCATGGGAGAGCACTGGAGGGCCTGCAGGACCTGACTGACACTTCGCAAAGATGCTGCACCCTCGCGGCTGCGTGGCAAGAGGACCGGCACGCGGGAAAGGACAGAAGCAGGACCACCAAGCAGGAGGCATCCGCCTCATGGGACCCCGTGGCTTTTGGCCACTCCTGTCACCTGGCGGGGTTATTTAGAAGAGGTCAGGAGATGAAGTCAGAGACGCTACTTCCTTCCCACAGGACAGATGAGTCTCATTAATTCTACTCGCATTGAAATTTCAATTACGTGGAATCTTCCTTTCCTCCACAACAGCAGATAAATGAAGCCCTATTTCATTATCCAAATCGAGCCTCGGGATCCTAAGAGTGACGGGGCGCAGACCCGCTCTCCTGTCTCCTTTGCCGCATCACACAAATTAAGTTCAAAAACCGGGAGAGGGGGTGGCTCAGGTTTGTCACGGGTTTGATCTCATTTGATTCTTTCACTTCATTCTTGATATTTACTACTAACTCACAATTTGGTTTTCTCCTCTCACGAGGCTTTCTCCCCTTTTAGGGGGCCCTATTTTTGTATCTTAGCTTCCTGGCTTCACCCCCAAACCCCTAATTCAAGGATGTCAGCTGAACAGCAGCCCTCCAAGCTCATTTACTCTGGCATTTTCCCTTTGTTCCGCTGTTTCTAATTCTCATTTTCCCCCCAGCTCGTCGGTCACTTTGCCACGGGTGAGTCATCTGCTCTGAGTCATGCCTGGCTGAGACGGAAAGGCCAGGAGGATGCCTCCAAACACACCTGGCTTACGAAAGGACATCACGAGGGACACGGTCGGCACCCAGGCACACGCTTTCCTAAGTAGACTAAAAATTAAAAGAAAAAAATCCCCTTTACTCTCTCTCTCTCTTTTTCCTCGAAATTTCCCATTTCTCTCAGAATTTGTTGGAGATGATTCCTATGGGGGAATGGGTCTTGGTCACCCACTTTGGACTTTCAGAGGCAGGAGAACATTTCTGGAAGGAGCCCAGAAAAACCCTGAGGACAAAATCAGGTTTTTCTTACATAAGGTTCTTCCTCGAATGTACGTACTACATGGACTGTCACACACGGGCCACCATCGGACGGCTCCTCCTCTGAGAGCTATGAAGATACTGTTTACACAGGGACCACCAAACTGTACCTAAAACAAGGAAAGATGAGAACCGTCCCAGACCAGAGGAGACTGGGGAGCTGTGACAACTAAACGCACCGTGGTCCCGGAACTGGGTCCTGGGACAGAAGGAGGAGCTGCCTGGATCCGCGTGCCAGCTCTGCCCCTACGACGGGAGGCAAACCACTCTGCCTCTCCAGGCCTCAGCCTTCTCATCTGTGAAACAGGTACGGCAGTGGTGGCTAGCCGTGGTGTTCTCGTGAGGGTTAAAGTGACAACCCACAGAGCACCTGGCACATTGCTGGGCATGGCAGAGGAAACCCGATAAACAGGAGCTACAACAACTTTGCCCCCTCAGGGAGAAGGCATAAACTGCACCCCGCTTCTTCCTCAAGTGTGCCGTCCTTGCCTCCTTGTCAGGGCCAACCCTGAAGTTTAAGGAGCTTGACTCTGAAAACCACCCCATACATAAAAGCTCTTTCCCCACCCTCTTGCCTCAAAGCCCCTAAGTTTACCATTATAGATTCATTTCTTCTAAGCACTTCCCTTCCAAATGTAAAACTGCTGGCAGAGGTGTGTCATCAGCTCTTGACACACGGGAACAGACCAGCCTATGGGGTCCCCATAGAAAGGGGTCCTGAAAAGGCAGGAGGAAGAAGGGAAAGTGGGGACGCAAGCTCAGCCCTCAGGGTGTGTGGGGGTGACGCTCGGGGACCTTCAAGGACATTGGGTGTCTGGAAGGAGATGCTGGTGGTGACGGTGCCACTGGAGGGGAGAGTGGGAAGCCGGAGGGGGACAGAGAAGGGAGCAACAGAAACTACTTTTCACTAGACGTCGTTCCGTGCCCTTTGAGTTTGGTAGCGTCTGCATCATGACCTAGGCAAAATGAATTAAATTAAATAAAGGAGGGGGGATACTGGTCTCTGAGGGTGAAGGTGCAAGTTACTTCAGACACTCTGCTGGCAGCCTGCCCTGCTCTCACCCTCTCCACCCCGCCCCCTCCCCCCAACGAGAAAAGCTGCCCCATGAGCTCCTGGACGGCTCATTCTGGGAACAGCAGCAATACTTTTTCAGGGTCAAAATTTGAGACACCAAAACCTTACACAAAAGCACTTCAGAACCGCTGGAGAAGCTCACCAAGGGAAAACGCAGCTTCCCCTAGTGTCGTGACCTCCCGTGAAAGCCGCTGTGTGAGGACTAACGCCGAGCGTCACGTGCAGCTGCACCATTTGTTTCACCGTTGGACGTCAATGAGCCACTCCTCCTCCACAAGGACCGGGTGAAGCAAAATGCTGAGGAAGGAAATAATCCCTCCACGGCCCCTGCAGAGGCATCGGAGAAACCCCGCATCCTGCCCTGGGCTTGAGCCACTAGTAAGACCCGTCCACCAGCAGGCGGTAGGAGCGGGGGGAGGCCGTGGACTTGGCATTCAGAGCCAGGAAAATCATCCGGTCCGTACAACCTTGGGCCAATCACTCGATTGCTGGGACCCTCACCATTCTCACCTGTGACACATATAGATCACCACTTACCTTGCCAGTTGTGGAAGCTTTATACACAAATATCCAAATCCATGTCATTACCCCTAAAAATAACCCAGCACCTCCTGCTAGATTTTCTCTGTAAAATGTCACCGGATCTTGAAGTTGGAAGGTGTAATGCATGGACTTGTGTTCCCCTAAAAAGACACCTTGAAGTCCTAACCCCAGGAACCGTGAATGTGACCTCATTTGGAAATAGGGTCTTTGCAGATGTAATTAGTGAAATTCACATAAAGCCATAATGGCACAGGGTGGGCCTTAAATCCAATCTGACTGGTGTCCTTATAAGAAGACAAGGAACAGAGAGAGAGCACACAGAGGGAAGATAATGTGAAGACACGCACACAGGGAGAAGGAGGCCATGTGACCACACGGGCAGAGATGGCAGTGAGGCGTCTATGAGCCAAGGAACACCAAGGACGGCTGCAACACCAGAGGCTGGGAGAGGGGCACAGATTCTCCGTCTGAGCCCTCAGGAAGGAACCAACGGTGCCGACCCCTTGATTTTGGACTTCTGGCCTCCAGGACTGTAAGAGGATAAATACCTGTTGTTTTAAGCCCCCGTTTGTGGTCCTTTGTGATGGCAGCCCCAGGACACCCATTCAGAGAGTTACCTGGTTTTACTACCTGTTTAATGCTTGAGTTCTCTTGCCCAGTGGTGAGCTAGCCAGCCTATGTTTGACTGTCTCTAGTAAAAGAAAACTAACTTCGCACCTACCAAGGCAGCAATCTCCACCTGTGAAATGCCATGACTATCGTAATAATCATTCAGTCAACAAATACTTATTGAGCACCAACTATATGCTAGGAACTGTTTGGGGCATGTTGATACAGTGTAAGTAGGGAGCAGACAATAAAACCACTCTCGAATAAGGTCATTTCTGATATTGTCATGAAGAAATAAATGCTGTAATATGATAGAGTGAGTGGGTTGGGGACCAGGAGGAAATTATTTTGATTGTTAGGGAAGGTCTCACTCAGGATGTGATACTGGAGGGTGACTTGAATGACAGGGAGCCAGCCTTGGGAAAATCTGGCACGAGGAACAGCCAGTGCAAAGGCCCTGAGGCAGAATGAGCCAGATGTGCTCAAGGCACAGAAAGCAAGCAGGACTTTTATTAGTGAGAGAAACAAGCAAGGTCAGTCAGTCCTGACAGCAGACCAAGGCAAGAAGTTTGAATCTGATCCTAAGAGAACTGGGAAGCCACTGGCGAGAGACAGGATTTGACTCACAGTTTTTAAAAGATCACTCTGGCCTGATAAAGTTCCTAAAATTGAAGTCTGTCTCAGGATAGCTTTTCTCCTTTGGTTCTCGGGATCTTGGGCTACTGCAGAGCAAGTTTCATAAATGACAGCCCCAGAACCTTCTGGAATCCTGGCTCCCAAGAATCTCCAAGACTCTCAGGCTTACCAGCCCTACTTCATTCACCACTATAGCAATTTCCAATGATTTTTTCTATGTCCTGCATGAAATGTGATGCCCGGGAAAGAACACAATATTCTAAGCATGGAGTAGCCCGGAAGCACCCCTTTCTCATTCCAGATCTATGCACCTACTGATCTGCTCCAAGACTGCCCTGGCTTTTCATTCTGTTTTGTACCGCTGACCTGCCGAGACATATCCCAGATATCTTCCTGCTGAGCTCCTTCTTGTGATGTCCCAACCTAGAAAGTGCAACCCAAGCTTGTTATTCCCTGATGAGAACAGCTGTGCCCCGTTTAAAAAAAAAAAAAGTGCCACCATAACCCCAACAATACCATGTATAAAAAACTGGATAAAATAAATAAAACCACTGGGTGAGCTCCTCAGGTTTCCCAACCACTGCATTTCTCTTCTGGGTGGAGGACAAGGAAAACTCTTAGGGCAAGTGTCCCCAGCATTGCCTCGTTCTCTTGCATCACACGGCTGAAGACACCGAGATGATTTGGAAACACCAAGCACTTGAGCAAAAGACACTCCTTGCAATCATACTTCCTACTAGATTTCTCAAAGACGTATAAACAAATCTGAATATGACGCAGACTTTCTCAAGCCTCGGGCAGGGGAACTGGTGCAGGTGCGGCCACACAGGCGAGCTGGGCTGCCTGAGTCAGCGGGCAGGCAGTGGGAAAGAAGGGTGCTCTGCCAGCAGATGCTGGGGAAGCCCTGGCCTCTCGGATGTGCTGGGTGTATAATCTGCCTGGACCCTTCCCACATCCCATTCCGCATCTGGTGTCAGAAGGCTAGGTTAACACTCGGCTCTGCCCCCGGGTAGCTAAGTGAACATGGTAGCCTCAGTTTACTCATCTGTGACATGAGAATAACGGCACCTATACTCCAAGTTTATTGTGAAGACCAATGAAGATTTTGCACGTGAAAGCCCTTTGTAAAGGACTCTGTCATGTAAAAGTGACGGGGTAGTAGTGACTGTCGGTTGACTTTTCATGACTTTTAAAAAATCTTCACAGGGGCCGGCCCGGTGGCGCAGCGGTTAAGTGCACATGTTCTGCTTCTCGGCAGCCCAGGGTTCAACGGTTCGGATCCCAGGTGCGGACATGGCACCACTTGGGAAAAGCCATGCTGTGGAAGGCATCCCACATATAAAGTAGAGGAAGATGGGCACGGATGTTATTAGCTCAGGGCCAGTCTTCCTCAGCAAAAAGAGGAGGATTGGCAGCAGTTAGTTCAGGGCTAATCTTACTCAAAAAAAAAAAAGTCACAGACTGCTTTTGATGTTTCTTTCAACCTGATTATTTTCTTTTTTGGAAGGAAGAGGCAGAGTGAGAGAGAGAGAAACATCTAGCATGACTCATCCACTCTAAACCTGTCCTAGATGATTATCCTGACAGCAGCCCCCTCAGAGCCCACGTGGGGTTAACATCAAGCAATTTGCCTCTAAAGAACCAAAGTCATTGTCATGAAAAGAGAACCGCACCTAACATCTGTGGATATCCTCTACTTTCTGGAATTCGGTAGCAAATTTATAAGGTTTGTGATTTACTCACCTCAGTGAGTTGCTTTTCATTGTCTTTAGTTGTTACTTTCTGAAATGATCCCAACCACCTTCACACTGACAGACACACGCCATACAAAAGACAAACACTGCCAAAAACATGCATTCTATTCTAGAACCAAATGAGAGGCTACAGACAATTTGCTGATCACTGAGAGTGCCTATGTGTGAGTCCTCAGCCGTCTTCATTTCTTTAATGGAAAAAGAAAATCTCATGAGTCAACTTTTTCACTGTGAGCTCATCTCAAGAGCCTATCTCCCCGTGCTTCAAATACGTAAGCAGTCCTATTTCTGAACAAAGTGGAAATAAATAAGAGTGACAGCCCAAGGGAGAGACTCTGAACAATGGGAGAACATACACTTCCAAACAGAAACCTGAAAAGACAGGAAGGATCGCGCAAGCGTAACACAATCAAAATCTTTTTTTCTTTGCTGAATTTGTTGTTAAGCATCTTGGCTGCCCTGGTTTAGGTTTGGGGAGCCGGGTGCCTCTAATCAACTGAATCTGAAACATTAGCATTAGGTGACAATGGCCTGGATGGCAGCCTGGCTAAGGCAGCCTGGTCCCTGACAGCTGTCGGCTTGCCTCTAACACTGACTCACCACTGGGACAACCTTCACGTCAGGGCGCCTCACCTGTGCCAGCTCAGAGGCGAGTTCCTGCTCATTCTGCAGGTTGGCACCCTTGCCCAGCACTTAACCGGAGTCCGAGGAGCCGGCCAGTGCCCACTGCAAAGTCTTTTCCCTCTTTCCCGGTTTCTTCTCCCAAATTCAATCAACCTGCAACCCAGGGAAGCTCCAACCCGTACAAGAGGAGAATGCGCCCAGCTCCAGGAAGACCATATCCTGCCCTTTCAAAGACTCTGGAAACTGGGCCAGCGCCCCCCGAACCAGCTGTCCTACCTGCGCTCCTGACACCGCGTTTGCACCGCTGTGCCCCCTGCAAACCTCTCAGCCGGCTCGCGGTCGGGGGGAGGGGAGCCCCTGGAACGCGCAGGCAGGGTGGAGGGGCGGACACCCCCTCCAGGGAGCCCTTCTTCCCTGCCCCTACACCTCGTCCGTCTGCCACCCAAACTTAAAAGCCAACACACAGGCACGGCTTGGCAGATGTCGTTCCCACCCCGGGCCCAGGCACCCCGTCCCCAGCATGCCCCTCCAGGAGTCCGAGGGTGCCCCCAAGCCTGAGGAACCGGCTCCATCCCAAAGCCACCGGGGGCTGGGGACACCCTGTCCACCCCCGAGCAGGCACTGCACCGGCCCCATTCCGCCGCCGCCCCGCACGCGCGCACCCTGCGGGAGCCCCGCGGCCCGACCCCCACGAGTCCTCCCACGGCCCCGGAGATGCCCGTCCTGTCGCCCCCCGCAGGCGCCCCCCGGACAGCCCCGCGCCGCCCCGCCCGCAGCAGCGAGGCGCGCCCTCCCTCCGCGGGCCGCGGGGCCCCTCTCACCGCGGCGGGCGCCGGCCGGCCGGCCGGGCGGACCGGGAGCGAGCGGGCGCCGGCGGGCTCCGCGCTGCGGCCACTGCGCCGGCTCGAGAGCCGGGCCTCCAGACGCGCCGGCCGCGCGAGCTGTCAGTCAGCCGGCCGGGCCCGCCCCCACGGCCGCGTCTGCGCAGGCGCGAGGCCGGCCCCGGCGGTGTCACGTGACGGGGCGGTGCCGCTGCTTGCATCCCGCGCTCCTGAGGGGCTCGGCTCCAGTCCGGGTAGCGACCCTCACCGGGCGGCCTGGTTTTTTCCCCGGTCACCGGATCCTGGTCCCGGAGACCTCTCGCGGATCGGTGTTACGGAAGGTCTGCGAACCCCGTTTCCAAGGATCAGCTCAAAACTAGGGTGGTCTCCCGGGCCGGGAGAGTTGGGTGGGGCAGGCCATTCTGCCAGCACGTGGCGGGGGGCGACTTGGGGATTTTAGTGGTGGGGGGTCAGGGGGAGCCGGGACCTGCGGCCTGGGTCTGGTTGCTTACCCGCCCTGAGTGTCCCTACTCTAAGACAGGATGCCATTTGTCATTTCCCGCCCGCCTACTCCAGAGTTACGGTGAAGTCAGGACAGTGATGAACAGGCTTTTATAATAAGCCAGGTGAGGAGGCATGGTACAGAAGGGCAAGGTGAGGCCGATTTACCTTCTGAAAGGGGGCATCTTAAAGGCTGATGGGTTCCACTTCGACGACTCCAGAAGTTCTAGCCCAGTCTACATCTTTACAGCAAATACAATAAACACAACTTTTCGGGCCATTGTGTTCCTTTCACATCTCTTCAATTTAAAAAAATGGTAAAACATAGATTTGTCCCCTATAGAAGCTATTTAGTTGTAGAGGAAGGAAGTATAGAAACAGAAAATGACCTCCCGCCCCTATAATTTGGGGTTATGTCAGTCTTCCTTCCAGCGTCTAGTAGAACAGGGAATCTGATTCTGGCGTGTGGGCTGATACCTCACAGGAGCCAAAGACGTTTCCACAGCTACACGGCAGAGCTGTAGGGCTCCTTCTAGTGGTTGCTTCTATGAAATAATGAAGCCCTGTCTTTAAATAAATGCGGTGGTATCTGAAATATTCAGGAAAACCGAAAAGTGTGAGTGTATTCAGCGTCAGATTCCATTTGGGGGAAATACCATTTCTCCTCAAGAGATTCATATGGACTCTCTCTCTCTCTCTCATACAAGGTCTTCTGACCTTGCCAGAAGGTAGGAGAGAGGCAGATGACATGGCCATTTTTAAAAAAGGGAAGAAAGTAAGTTCTGCAAACCACAGACCAGTGAACTTGACGTTGGGCCTGGGAAATATTCAGACAGGTTATTCACAAAGAATATTTGTGCTCCTGAGAAGAGGAAGCACAAGTGACAAAGACCAAGTCACGCTAGGTTAGCCTGACTTCTGCTGTGATACATATAGTCTGGCAAACCAAGGAAATAGGGTAGAGACCGTGTGTCTAGACCTGGAAGGCGTATTTGCCAGGACTCTCTCAGTTATAAGTGAAGGAACTCAACGCAAACGGGGCTTTTAGAATATATCGCTCACACAACTGAGAAGTCCTGGGGTTGGCTCGGTAGGATCCAGGGTGCAAATGAGGTCATGAGAATTTGGTCTCTCTCCCATTAGACTGCCTCCCTGAGCTAGCTGCCTTCTCAGATGAGTGCTTTTTATAGGGTGGTCTCCAGCAGCAGCAGCCTTATATTCTCTCAATTTAGCAGCTCCGGTGGAAAAAAGGATTCTTCCTTTCAGTATTTCCAGCAGAAGTCGCAGGATTTGGTCTGAATGGCCAACATCGCTCATGTGTTCATCCCCTTGAACCAAGCTCTGAGGCCAAGTTCTTGGGAAAACTGGATTGGCCACATCTGGACAGGAGTGAGGATCAGCCCCGCCCAGCTACCTGTGTGGAGAGCAAGGGAAGGGTGGGTCCCTACAGGAAACTGAGGTGCTCTTGCCAGAAGGGGGATAGATTTCTGGGCTGCCTGGGAAAGCAACAGATATCCAGGACAAAGCATTTGCTGAGCTATCTCATGATACTATATGAATGGCATGAAGAAAAGGTGGGGAAAATAGTAAATTTATTGGATGGCTGGATCAATATTCAAAAGCACTTTGATTAGAGGATGAATCCCAAAAACAATTATACAAGCTAAAGCCGGTGATGCGACAGCCTCAGTTCTGTGTTCTCGTCCACAATGCCTATTTCCCCTGCAGCTTTGTAACATATTGCCACAAACATAGCAGCTTAAAACAACACAAATTTATTGTCTTACAGTTCTGGGGTCAAATCCTAAAATCGAGGTGTCCGCAGGGCTGCCTCCCTTCTGGAGGCTCTGGGGGAGGAATAATTTGCCTTTTGCAGCTTCTGGAGGCCGCCTGCATTCCTTGGCCCGAGGCCCCTTCCTCCATCTTCAAAGGCAAACTCTATCTGGAATGGTTCTCAGCTCTTCTTTGTCCTTCAAGACACTGACATGTGCTAAGAGTACAGGCCAGCAGTTTTGCAGAAGTCTCTGTCTGGACTTTTCTGATTGCGCCCTTAAAGAGCCAGGGGACGCATCTCTGGCAGCAGTGTCGCCGAACTGGTGTGCGTCCTGCTCAACGCGTCGCCTTAGAAGGCACAGACATCCGTTTGTCTCGTTATTGGTGATGCTGTGTTTGACCACTGGTTGAGCTGGTGATATATTTCTCCAATATAAAGGTGCTGTTTTCCCTTTGTAAGTAATCTGTGGGGAAGATACTTGGAGACTATCTAAATATCCTATTTTCCAGTGAACTTTGGCCCAGTGGTTTAGCATCCATTAATGATGTTATGGTGGTTGCAAAATGCTGAGTGTTCTAATTCGATTGCTCCATTAAGATTTATTAATTTCCCTGCGTCTATCCTTGCCCTTCCCCAGTCTGTTCTCCTCAAAGCAGCTGGAGTGACCTTTGAAAACCACAAATGTGATAAAATCCTCTAGTGGCTTCCCACTGACCCTCAGATGTGGCCAGAATCCCTCATCTGTTTGTTAGGAGCCTGCACAACCCGGTCCCCTCTGAGCTCTCCAGGCTGGTCTCAAGCCACTCCCCGCTTGCCTTCCACACACTGGCCCCCATGCTGCTTTCCACCGTAGGGCCTCCCCATTTGCCCCCTTTTGCTTATCAAATACCCACATGTCTTTCACATATCACATCCTCAAGGAAGCCTTCCACACGACCCCCGGACCAGGCCGGATGCCTGGGCATACTCGCTCACCACACAACGTCCTTTTCCTCTATAGGAACACGCCAGTTTTAACTGTGCACTTATTTATTTGTTCAGTTAGTCTCTGAGCTCCATAGCAGGCAGGAACTTGGTCTGGTTTGGCTCGCTCGTGGGTCTGCGGCACCTAGCACGGTGCCAGGCACAGAGTGGATGATTAACTACTTGTGGAATGAACCAGTGTGAGCTTAAGACAAGATCTGGGGACGGGGGCGAGGAGGACAGGAAGAGGACTGAGTTATTGGAGTGAGAGCACCAATGGGCACGACTTGCTTCCAGGTGACTTGGTGGGTGGGGTCCTGGCAGCAGGAGCAGGGGAGCGAGGTGACAGCGGGCCCTCGGGGCTTGGTGTAGAGCTGCGCTGGGCTGGAGCTTGGCCTCTGCTCCTTGGAGGGGCAGAGTGGTGCAGGATGAAGAGCAGGGCCTTCAGAGCCACACAGACGAGGTCTGCAGGCCAGCTGTGCTCCACTTCCTCTCGGCCATCACTGAACTCTGAGCCTCAGTTTCCTCACTGTACAAAGGGATCGGGGATGTGAGGTTGAAGTGAGTGTACAAGGCAGTATGACAGCAGCAAAGACGAAGAAAGATCTGGGTCTGAATGCTGGCTTTCCCTTCCTGGCTCTGTGACCTTGAGCACACTGCTTAACCTCACTGGGCCCATTTCTTCATCTATGAAAGGACCAAGCATAGCACGTTCGTTCATTCATTCATTCTGTGCATATTTATTGAGTGCGACAGGCACTGGGGAGACAATAGTGGAGAAAACCAACAACCTCCTGTCTTTCGCGAGGCTTGCATCCTGGTGAGGGATAGACCAGGGGTATCAAAGTGAAAGATGTAGGGCGTCAGCTGAGTGGTGACAAGGGGTGAAGCTGGGAAGGGGAAGCGAAACGTCACAGGAATGGGAGGGAGGGGGAAATTTTAGAAAGAGCTCTGGGGAGGAAGATGCCTTTTGAGTCAAGTGCTGAAGGGCATGAGAGAGGGAGCTTGGGACATCCAGGGAACAGAGAGTGCCAAGCCCCAAGGCTGACACTCAGGAAGTGCTCCATACATGTCCACCAGCCACAAGCCCTCCCCCCGGGCACAGGCCTGGGCCCCAGCAGGCTCTACCCACAGCCAGAGGTGTGGTGGCCCAATGAAAAGGGGTTCAGAGACACATCACACCACTCTGCGTTCTTTCAACATCCTGGGCCTTGTCCAAACCCATAGGTTGTGGACTTTTGGCCTTCTGGCTTCCCTACTCTGGCTGTTGCATTCAACACCAAACTCAGTGGAAAAAGTAAGAAACAACCCCAATACCCTTCCGGAACAAACCTCTGCTTTTCCACTGTACGACCTTTGGAAGTCTCCCTCTCTTTCTCTCCCACTGTTTACTCTAAGAGAGCACACAGATCATACCTGTTCACAGCTGGGTGAATTTTTACCGAGCGGGCACCCACACAAGCAGCACCCAGATCAAAACATAGAGTCTTACTAGCACCCTAGCACCCTTCAGTGGGTACCAAGGCCCCGCCCTGTCTTCACGCACCAAAGACCGATTTTGCTTGTTTTTGAACCTTTTATTAATAGAATCATATAGTACATACTGTTCTTTTGTGTCTTGCTTCTTTTACTCAACGTCATATTTGTGAGACTGACTTCTATTGTGTGTGTGGTCTGTGCTTGCATTCTGTACAGTGTTTCATTGTGTGAATATAGCGCAATTTATTTATTCATTGTGTTGTTCATGGATATTTAGCTTGTTTGCAGTTTGGGGTTACTGTGGACAGTGCCGTGCGGACATCCCAGGACAAGTCTTTCAGCGAACACGGGTACCTGCACGCTCAGCTCCAGCGGGTGCTCCTGACGGCTGTCTGAGGCGGCTGAACAATGACGTTCCCAGCCGCAGTGGCTGGCAGTCAGTCCACTCACTCCGTATGCTTGCGGACACTTGGTGTGTTTTCCTGTGAGCCATTCTGCTGGGTGCGTAAATAGTATTTCACTGTGGTTTAAGTTTGCATTTCCCGATGACTAATGAAAATGAGCAATTTCTCGTGTTTTGGATGGTCTCTTTTGTGAAGTCCCCGTGCAAGTGTTTTGCCAATTGTTCTATTGGGTTGTCCCATTTAATTACATTTTTATGTATTTAAAAATGAACACATGGTTAAAAAATTAACAAGTTACAGACCTACTTCTTGTATATTTCTCCAGGGATATTCTATGTACATATAAACATATATACCCCCTACTCTTCTTTTTTACACAAATACACACAGTTTTACACAACGGACTTACTATACCTCAAAGACCATCCATATGCATTCATAAACATCTGCCTCATTCTTTTTACAACTGCACAGCACAGTATTCTGTCTCTGTATTCAACATACTTGATTTAATATACTGACGGGCATCTAGGGTGACGCCAGGTTTTTGCTTCTACGAACATGTGACTTTAAATACTCAGGTGCACATGCTTTGGTGCACATGGGTGGGTCTGTCTGCAGGACAAATACCTAAGAGTGGAAGTGCTGGGCCAAAGGGTATGTACACTCCAACTGTGTGATTCATATCGCTAGCTTGCTCTGCAAAGAGATGAACAAATTGACAATTGCACCAACTTGGTCTGCCTGGCCGGCAGAGGATTACTAAGCTTTTATCTTCACCCATCCACCAGATGAAAAATGGTATCTGCTTCTACTTTAAATTTGGTTCATTCCTTTTACTTTGAAAGAGGCTGAGCACCTTTTCACATATTTGAATAGAAGCTCCACCTTAAAAGGGCTGGTTCCTGGGACGAGAGGTTAGCTGGAAACCGACTCCTGAGAGGTAGACAGAATTGACCCTGGAGATGTGATGTTCCCATCCCTGAAAGGGCCGCCAGTGTTAGGTTTTCTGCTCCCATGGCCTCAGTGAAATCAGGGAGAGGCAAAAAGCTCTGTGTTCAACCACAGTCTTAAAACAGGAAGAAACCTTAGAAATCAAATCTAACCTCATATTTTAGAGATAAAAAAAAAAAAGCTGAGGCTTGCAGAAGACCACATTTCAGTTGTGTTGAGAAAGAGATGAAAATCCTTGATAAGAGTTGAACTATTTTTGTCAACTGCTGCCATCCCTGTTAAATATTTCAACAAATGATTTTATGGTGCTATTTCCTTCAGCAAAGGTACAATTTGATAGTTACAACAAACAAGCTATCCTGGTAACCCAGGACACAGGCAACACGACAAGTGTGGAGATGGAAGAGAATTATGGGGTGAGGATGCCTCCACTCTTCTTTTTTGGTGAAAGACTTTGAAATGGGTCAAAAAGATTTTTGGGTGTCTTCAGTGAACAACTAGGTGTTTCTTGCACACCCTTCTGGGTTTTCTAGTTGTAGAGGATCTTTTCTTTAAGCTATTTATAACTCCACAGGGTGTAAAGAATTGATAGCAATGCAAGTGATTCTTGCCCATGGATACCAGACATACAACTGAACCTTGTCTGGGGGAGTTCAGTTGACTTCCCTCCCCTACTGTGGAAGAAGCCAGTTTAGCATCTATTAAGCAAGTTCATCCCAGCATTCCTGGCTGCCTACACATGTGTCTGCCTTTTGCATTCATCTCTGAACCATTTGTATCACCTTACATACATCCTGATTAATTAGTGAGTTAAATTAAATCTTTGACATGTTTACAGTTGTATGAGTCATGATTTAACCTTTTTAAAAAAAAAAAAAAAAAGATAGTCGTTTATCATTGCTCATAGCAAATATATCTCAAGCAGAGCAGTGACTTGTAGTCTTGGTGTTATCCAAAGATAACCATCCTTTCTTTCAGCCTCTGCAAAAAGAGCTGACCGCTGACTGAGGGCCTCCCTTGCTCTTCTCCCTTGTGGAAACAAACACACCAGGAGATAGGGAGCTCAGTGAGGGCTGGCTGCATGCATAGCACCACTGTGCATACAGAGGTACAAGACATAACATTTTTAACTTTTAAAGCTGGAAGTTGATGATTAATGCACCCCTACTTCCAAAAGTTTAGCTGGATAAGAATTTCCGGGAGCAAGAACTGTAAATAGTGAGAAGGTGGCTTGGAGACGGTTAGGCTCTGAAAGATCCCTTAGCTGCAATTACTGTTTCGTTGCTGACAACAATCTAGTGAGAACTTACCAGTTTAACTGAGCACCTACTTCCCAGCCCTGCGGATACTGTCCCAAATTTTAGAGGAAATCCAAGGAAATAAAAAACATGTGTCTACCTTCGAAAAACTTAGGGCTTAGCATCTGGAAGGAGCCTCTGGGCTGCTCTGGCGTCCAGGTCCCTCAGAGGGGACCAGAGGCTCAGCGGACCCCAGGAATCGGGCCTCCGATCCCCGTCCAGCGCGCCTCCCCTTTTCCCCACGTGCTTTCTGGCTCAGTCGTTTCCACTCCCGCTCCTCCACCTCCCCATTTTCGGAGGCGTCCTTGCGGCACACCGTACAGGCCATACCTAGAGCTGGCTCTGAGACGCCGCTCTGGGCACTGGGCATCTCGGCGGGGACCCGGGGCAGAGCATGTTAGCCGAACGGCGCGGATTGGACCTTGCGGCAGCCCGTAGCCCCCCATCCTTTCTCTTCCGGATCTCCGTTTGGATGGCTCCCTTTATTTTAGCGAGGCGAGCTTGCGACTAAGAGCTGCCTTTCTTAAGCAGCTCTCAGTCTTTACTAGTCTCTGTCCCAGAGCGATCCTGGGTACCCAGTCCCAGCAAATCGCCTCAAACCCCGCTCTCTGCGACCAGGAAAGGCGCAGCCGGAACTGCGCAAGCGCGGCGCCGCTGACCTCGCGGGGTTCAGTTCCGGGGGTCGCACCGCCCAGCTCTCCAGGCAGGGTGCTGGGCTTCGGTGTCTTCTGGGCAGCCGCCTCCCTCTGACCTGCCCGGCGGGAACCACCCGAGCCGAGCCGCGGGGCCCGCTCCGGCCCGGCCATGAGCGCGGCCGCATGATGCATCCCTGCCCCGGCCGCTGCAGTCGCCGCCGCCGCCGCTGCAGGCCGGGAGGAGCCGCAGCGCCGGGCGACCCCGCCCGGGCCTCGGGTGAGTGCGGCGGGCCGGGCCGGGCCGGCTGCTCACGCCCGAGGCTCCGGGCCACTCCCGGCCCCCGTCCGCCCTTCCCTCGGCCCTGCTCCCTCTTCTCCACCCCGCCGCGCATCTGCGACCTTCCGGAGTTCCTGGGGGGCACCTCTGTGCCTGCGCTCGACTTCCTTTCCAGGGGTCTCCTTGTCTCTCCTTAGTTGATCTCTCCGGACAGGGCCCGGATTGCAGCCCCAGCTTTTTGTCTGACCTTGGGCGTGACAGTCAGCTCTCCGGGCCACGGTTTTCTCCCCTAATAACTAATAACGGGGTTGTTGTTAGGGCCAGAAGAGAGAGTGGCTATAAACCCGTCTGTTTATAGGCAGCTATTAGAATGGACTGTCTCGAACGTCGCACGTGGCTTCTCGAATGCTCCTGTTCTTCCCTCCCTTTTAAGTTTTTAACTTTTCTCTTTTATTCTTTGCCCGTGATCCTCGTTGTCTTCCCTTCCCCCTGTCAGTGATCTTTGAGGGGTTGCCCGATAGGGCATATGGAACAACCAGGTCAGCCTTCAGGGCAAAGTCTGCATCTTTTCTTGCTGCAGCCAGGGCTCATCTCTCCTGAGGAGTGGTTGCTGCTGGAACTAAGACTCTTTGCCCTGTCAGATGGGCACACTTTGTCACCTTGTGGGTGACCAGTTTATTATGGTAGTTGCATGGAATGTAAGAAGAACTGTTGACCCAGCCGCCTTGCAGCTACTTTTGCTGTCCAGCTTGTGTACAGTGCTGTGCAAATCGATGCTACAGTGTCACGTTTGCAGTCTGCTTACTGTGCATCGTTAATGCACATATATTTGTCTATTTTACTGTTCCTATCTCAGATAGTCTAGAAATCTAGGTCAGTATATATTCTTTTCTAAACTCTTCACCTCACATCTGATGAATTTAATCTTTTTGAGGTTGTTGTACAACGTGTACTCACCTAAAGTCACCTTTTAAAAGGTCACGTTGTTAAATTTGCTTGTTAGGAAGTCTTAACTTGGTTAAAGTGAAAGATTCTTGGGATACCTGAAAGCTGCAATGAAACACAAGTGTTAGATTGCACTTCTTGAACATTCTGGAAAATTGAAGGGTAGTGTCATTGGCGTTATTTGGATTGTGTGCTTTCGGGAGTTAGACTGGTAGGTTCACATGAGTTTTGAGTTGAGAGATGGAAGGGAAGAAGAAGATCTCAACAGGTAACCTAAAGAATTCACAAAACGACAACTGGAACTCTATGCAGGTGTCTCACATCAAGGCAAAGTGGGTAAAAATGTAACAGGAGGATTCTGTTACCAGTGACTCAGGTCCTGCCTCGGATGACAGTGAGTGAATTGGAACTTTGCAGCCATGCTGACGGATGCACTGTAAAGGCAGAAATCCTCTTCTAGAAAGGACAAGTATTCGCATGAATGGAGTGGCCTTCTCAGTGTGAGGGAAAGTGCTAAAAGGAACTTTATATAAGAACAATCAAAAGTGTGAACCTACGTTTACATTCTTACTGAAACTATTACCTGCACGCTTGGACTCTTTGATGCTATAAATAATATAATCTTTGTTAATTTGAAGAAATGGGACTAGAAATAAGTTTGCCTACGAAGTTAATGTTTGGGATGAATTGAGAAGTAGTTTCCTGATGATTCCAGAACTTCCCTACTCCAGTCCACGCTGAACAGCTCTGCAAGATCATTTCCTTGAAGCAGCTGTTTGGGGATATGTTTCTTAAAAGCAGTGTTTTAATTATAAAACTACTGCCTGCTTGTTTTGTAAAAAAAAAAGTCGAACACTTTTTGAGAGCGGAGTGTAATGTATGAAGTCTAAACGCTCATTCTCGCTCCCTCTTGTCCCCAAAGCCAGTTGTCCAGGGTCCGTGTTAACAACCTGGTGTCTGAGCCGTCAATTGTAGCCGCTGAGAAGAGTTCAGGCCACCTGCCAGGTTAGTCACCTGCAAAGTTTAGAGGGAACAGTCCACACAAGATCACCCTCGCTTCTGACACCAGCTGCAAGTTTGGGGGTTCCCAAAGCCACCGTCAGCTTCCATTATGATTTAGAAGGACTCACAGAACTCACTGGAAGCTCTTGTACTCACAATCATGGTTTCTTACAGGGAAAGGATACGAATTAAGCTCAGCCAGGCGAAGAGGCTCATAGGACAGTCCATGGAACCGCCAAACATGGAGCTTCTGTTGTGCTCACCCCAAGGAGCCAGCGTGCGTTTCTTTCCTGGCATTGATATGAAACAGTATGCACAGGGTATTGCCACCCAGGGGCGCTCACCCGAGCCTTGTGTTCAGTCTTTATTGGGGTTCCATTACATAGCTGTGATTGATTGATTGATTGACTGATTGCCCACATGGTTAATCCCGGTGTCCAGGTCAGCTGATGCTGTGTGATCCAAAGCCCCGCCCTCAGTTGCATTGTTGGTCTTTCTGATGTGGCCAGCCCCCACCCTAAATCAGATTGTCCTCTAGGACAAAGGCCAGACCTCCTTTTGGGCAAGGTTAAATTCTTTACTACACAGCATTCTTCCTTCTTTCCTGGTCCCTTCCTTCAAAATAGACTTTTTTTGCTTTACCGTTGACAAATGACTCTGCCTTCTGGATCATGGAGCAGACAAAGGCCACTCAGAGTCTTCTCCCCTGTGATTCTTTTCTGACTACACTGTCTCTGAATAGCCTCAGCCTTTTTCTTCCTCTGCCGCTCAGGAAGAGCTCGTCCTCCTTCCCAGTGTTCACTCATGTCTGCACCCGGTCTGCCTGCTATGGGGCAGTCACTCAGTCCTTTACTCTCACTGGCTTCCTCGCCCCATCTACAAACATGCTCTTGTCTTGCTTCCTACTTCATTCTAGTCTTGAAAAACCTTCAGTGGAATCCTATTAATTGTCTAATAAAATCCAGACTCCTTAGGGGGCCGAGATAAGGCCTTAGATTGGTCTAGCACCTTACACTTTTGAAAACACCCGTGTTATCCCACAGCGCCTCGAGTGCAGGGCGCTTGGCCGGTGTTTGCTCAGTGAGTGATTTGGCTGGGCGGACAGAGAAAGCCTGCTCCTGGGAGGAAACAGCAGGAGCAAATGCGCAGCGGTGTGGAGGGCATGGTCGGGGACCAGAGCGAGCCTTGTGTGGAGGAGAGTGGTGAGGACGGAGCCTGCAAAGGCGGGGAGAGCCAGCTTCAGTGGGGCCTTGAACGCCATGGTCCCGAGGTTTGGGACCTGATGGATTCTGTGACCTGTGCTGTGATTTTGGCTGTAACTGCTGGAGCCTGGCACCCCTTGAGGTTCAGATCCTGCAGAGGTGCAGGCCAGGGGCGAGGGTGCCCACACTCGGGTTGTGGGGAAGGTGAAAGCTGTGAGCAGGCAGGTCATGGGCAGGTGGGAGTGGGGAGGAGGAGCTGTGTCTCTGGAGGTGAGAAGGTGCTGATAAATCCTGGTCGCAGGAGGAGTGTGGTCAGTAAATGGAAGAGAGGCTGGCTCTGCGTTCCGCTGGTGGTTTGGTCCGTTCTGGGAAAGGGCGCAGTTCTTTTCAGCACCCAGTAAGCAGGGGGCAATCTGGGTCAAGAAACTTCCAGTTTCTCTTGAGACAGACAGGCTTTTACAGTATCATTTCTCTGTTGAAATGTTTTGAATTCTTAGAGTTCCTTATTTCCCAAATTCAGTTTATTCGTTACAGAATGCGTTTTCTAAAACCACATGCTCTAGAAGGCTTTGTGTTTTAATGGATGAACATGGGCTTTGGAGTCAAAACAGTCAAGGCCTCACCCTTTCTTTCCTGGCTGTGAACTTGGGCAGGTTCCTTCAGCTCCAAGGCCCCATTTCCTTGCCTCTAAAATGAGCCACTGATAGCGCCTAGCTTTTAAGGGGTGGCTGGAGCGAGTGTACTAATGCGTATAAAGCTCTTGACACACAGGAGATTGTCGGGAATCGGCCTTTCCTTTCTCCTTCTCATAGTTACATTGTCGTTAGCTTGCAGCTGAGAGCTAAGTGTGTTATTGGCATGTCACCTGTTCGTAGTGTTTCCGATGTGGGTGAGTCTTGATGTTAAAAAGTTCATTTCGTATTAAAGAAGGAAACCGTATTTAGGAAGATGTAGAAAGAGGTTGAGATTCACCAGGCTGATTCCGGTTCAGCTGGGACAGGCCACTCAAAGAGGTTTGGAACTCTGGGTTCTTTTTATTTCTGGATTCAGAGTTCTTGAAGGTTTAGTTGCCACATTGGGATTTTTTAAAACAGCTGCTCCACATGACTTTCAGAGTCAGCCTGTGGCTCCAGTGCCAGGATAGACGTGCAGCCTGTGGGGTGGGTGTAAACATCCCCCTGAGACCGCCTCATCCAGCCCACGCGCTCCAGGTGACACACCTAACGCTGAGGCTGCCCCAGGCAAGCCCTGACTGAGTGTCCTCCCTGCCCTCTCACTCCCCTTGCCCCTTCCCTTCCTTCCACTCCTTTTCTCCCAGGCTCCCGCACCTCTGACCGCATCCCTGTGCCCAGCCTCCCACTTTGACCCTCTTTCCTGCTTCCTTTCATGTTCCTGTGGGCTTCATGTCCACTTTCTCTTGTCTCCCTCAGGCACACTCCCTGATTCTCTCACTCATTCAACAGATATTTGCG